GGGACTACAGGTGCCTGCCACAATGCCTGACTATTTTTTTTTAATTGAGATAGAGTCTCACTTTGTCACCCTCAGTAGAATGCCAAGAATCAAGAGATTCTCTTGCCTCAGCCTCCCTAGTAGCTGGGACTAAGGCACCCACCACAACACCTGGCTATTTTTTTTGTTTGTTTAGCAGGTCTGGACCAGTTTCAAACCCACCAGCCCCGAAGCATGTGGCTGGCACTCTAACCACTGAGCTGTGGGCACCCTTTTATTGTTTTCTTTAGAGCAGAAATTGAGAGCATGGAGACATCCAGCTCTATTCAACCTCTTACTTTATTTGGGACCAATGGTAGACAGATTTCTCCCTAATCCGTTTGTAGACACACAAGTTTATTGAAAGCATGAGTGAACAAACTTAATTTCTCAAACTGAACTTAAGACTCTGACAAAGAAACTTTAGACGTGGCCTGACTATCGAATGCAAAGGAACTTTCAACAAAGAGCCTTTTAGAGCAGCAGTTCTCAACTTGTGGGTCGCGACCCCTTTGGGGGTCAAATGACCCTTTCACAGGGATTGCCTAATGTCAGATATTTACATTATGATTCATAATAGTAGCAAAATACAGTTATGAAGTAGCAATGAAAATAATTTTGTGATTGGGGGTCACCACAACATGAGGAACTGTATTTAAAGGGTCGCAGCATTAGGAAGGTCGAGAACCACTGCTTTAGACACTGCTGAATCCTCCTTTATTACAAATTTGCAGGCTGTCTTCTGGTTAGAGGATACAGGGTGTGATTGTTTTTTTTTTTTTTCTTTGAGACTGAGTTTTACTTATTAATCCTTGGTGGAGTGCTGTGGTGTCACAGCTCACAGCAACCTCCAACTCCTTGGGCTTAGAGGATTCTCTTGCCTTAGCCTCCTGAGTAGCTGGACTACAGATGCCCGCCACAATGCCCGGCTATTTTTTTTTGCAGTTTGGCCAGGGCTGGGCTTAAACCCGCCACCGTTGGTATATGAGCCGTGCCCCACTCAGTGAGCCACAGGTGCCACCCTGTCCTTGCTTCTTAATCTTCTTCACTCCCAGCACAGAAGGGAAGTTCATAGTTGGGCAGCATCCACTGAGCCTCTGACCATTCAGGGAAACTTCCTGAGGACCCCTGCTGACACCGGAGATTTCATTATTATCTGGTGACAACTGCCTGAGGGGCCGTGGTGGGCCCAGGAGAACGTAAGCATCTCTCACATGGGACTGACATTGCAAAAACCCACCTATTAGGTGACAGCAAATATTATTATATATGAAGCAAGAGGAACGGGACTTAATTTCAGTTTCAGTAGAATAAAGATTAGGAAAAGTTATGCTTTAGAGGATTAAAGGACAGAGGACTGACTTTGGTTGAAAGATCTTCCTTTCTTTTTCTAGAGGAAATAATAAATATACCACCTTCTTGTTAACGTTAAGGACTGAAAATGAAGCGGGGGAAGACTAGGACAACTTACTACTTAAAATCTGAGAACAGATTTTCAAGAGCATTGGTGGGACTGCTCCTGTTATCCCTATCCCAAATTTATATTCCATTAGAAATAGGGACTCTGTGGCTCCATCCAGAAGTACAACATGGAAAATGTAACTGGGAGTTCTTTCTTAGCTGTATTTTTTATGGAAAATATCCCATAGAATCAATGTAGCAAGGAAAGTAGTATTTTCTTTTCTCACTTCTAGAAGTTATGGTCTTGGATCTGAGGGACCTGGGTTGGAATTCCAGTTCTGCAATTTTCTGGGCCTGTGGATGACATGTCTCTGAGTCTCATGTGTATATATATATTTACCATGAAGAAGTCTGTCTATGGGGTCATTCTAAAGATTTTTTTTTGCAGTTTTTGGCCAAGGCCAGGCTTGAACCTGATACCTCTGGTATATGGGGCTGGTGCCCTACTCCTTGAGCCACAGGTGCCACCCTATTCTGAAGATTTAATGAGATACTGTACACAGAACAATGAACAGAATGCAAAAATTAAACGTTAGGTTCCCTCCCAGTCTAGAGCAAAGGTTTGAAGTGGGAGGAGGTGCAATGACTTCTCTTCAGTTGAAATTAATCTATTCTGGTCTTTCCTCTTCCCTGAGCTGGGAAAACTGACCAGGCTGGCCCAACTGGTACCAGCGGAGGAAAGAGCTTGTGGATTGGGGTTGGGGCTGAGGCAAGAATGTCTTTTCCTGCCATCTGCTTGTTGTCAGAACAAGAGTCTGATAGTGTCTAAGAAAGTTCTGAGATCAAGGCAATAGGTTAGGTTCAGAACGGGCTGCTAGGGGACTGAGGAGCTGACTGACGTGTGTGGCTGAAAGCGAGCCTGGGGACAGAGGCCCATGAAGTACCATGTGAAAGTGGTCGTGTGAAAATCTTTTTTGTTTTCTTTTTTTTTTAAGTTTGGCAAGAATTTTTTTTTCTAACAGTGTGAAAATTTCAATCCTGTAGCATCAGAGTTTCTTAAAGGGCCTTGCAGACACCTTGAATCTGGTTATTGATGGCCAAAGAGTCCCTGAGAATGCGTTCTGTCTTTGCTATCGCACGACACATTCTGTTTTTTTTCACTGTCCCTTTTTAAGGCCAGCTAAAGCCAATGCAGTCACAAACAGAGTAATTCTCAAGTGCCTTCTGTGAGCTAGGTTGGGGCATCTGGGGTGACCATAGGGCACCATGAAAAGAATTCAGAAAGAAGAAACATAGCTGCAGATTGCTAAGCAGAAACAACAACTGAAACTCCCTATCAGATTTCCAGAAAAAAGCTGCAGGCAATACGAGACACAGGCTGTGACCCGTGAAGCAAGGCTGCAGAGAGAACTTTTCTGCACACAGAAGCCACAGCTGATGCTCCTCAGAAGGGCAATCCAAAATGGGGAAGAGGCAGTCTGGGTTAGCAGTCAAGGGCATGGACTTGAGGCTGGGGCTGACCCAGGATGGTTCTCCCATGAACTAGAACAAGTTACTTAACCTCTTTCAGTTTTCCTAGCTTTAAAAGACAAGTAAGATGAACACGCACTAAAAATTCTCCGGAAGGACACACTCTAGAAACTAACGTCAGTGGTTCCATTTTAGAAGACTGCACAGATGGGGACAGAGGAGAGAAAGACACGTTTCACTTACATTTTGATATAGTTTCATTTTTGAACCAGGTGGAAGCGTGGTTCTATTAAAAAGAATAAATGAACAAAAGGACAAGTGATGATAGTTTCTACCTTGTAGGATTCCACACTTCTGACAGATGGTAATTACTCACATATGTTTGCTGTGATTATTACTGCAGCGTCACTGACGGGTCATCTGCTTGTGTTTTTAGAACTTAACATTCCCAAGTAGTCTCTTATCACCATTCAGATCAACGTCCTACACATATCGATCTTACATTAGGTTTATAATCAATGGCATAAATTCAGCTCCTTAGAAGAAGTTTTGTAAATGGGTGACATGAATGAATGAGTACCATCTGCAAATTAGACTACAAAATGTATTGTATCTACATTTAACACATTTCAGAGAATTAAATGATTGATAATGCACCTGGCAACATTTTTTCTCAATTTCTTATTTTGAAAAATTAAAAACCTATAGCAAAATTTCAGGAATAGTATGATGAACAACGGTATAAACGTCACTGGTATTCAGCAATTATTGATGTTTTTTTTTTCACATTTGGATTCTCTTTCTCTTTCATACACAGGCACAGACATGTCCATACATATTTTTCTGAACCATTGGAAAGTTAGTTACCAACATGACACTTATTTCTTTTTGTTTTCTTTTCTTTTTTTTTTTTTTTTTTGAGACAGAGCTTCAAGCTGTCCCCCTGGGTAGAGTGCTGTGGCATCACAGTTCACAGCAACCTCCAACTCCTGGGCTTAAGCGAGTCTCCTGCCTCCACCTCCCAAGTAGCTGGGATTACAGGTGCCCGCCAAAACGCCCGGCTATTTTTTGGTTGCAGCCATCATGGTTGTTTGGCGGGCCTGGGCTGGATTCGAACCCACCAGCTCAGGTGTATGTGGCTGGCGCCTTAGCTGCTTGAGCCACAGGTGCCAAGTTGATACTTATTTCTCAACACGGCCCTGCACATGTCTTCTGAGGACAAGGACCTTCCCCTACATAATCACAACACAACAATCAAACCCTGGAAATCTAACTTTTACAATAGACCATTATCTAATGTAGAGCCCATATTCAAATTTCCTCAAGTATCCTAGCACTGTCCTCTGTAGCCGTTTCCTTTTTAGTCCAGAAATCCCACTGGAGATATTGTACTGTATTTCTTTTCTTTTCTTTTTGCAGTTTTTGGCCGGGGCTGGGTTTGAACCCACCACCTCTGGCATATGGGGCCAGCACCCTACTCCTTGAGCCACAGGCACCATCCTCTTTTCTTTTCTTCTTCTTTTTTTTTTTTGTTTGAGATGGAGTTTCACTCTGTCGCCCTTGGTAGAGTGCTGTGGCATCACAGCTCACAGCAACCCCAAACTCTTGGGCTTAAGTGATTCTCTTTTTTTTTTTTTTTTTTTTGGCTTAAGTGATTCTCTTCTCTCAGCCTCCCGAGTAGCTGGGACTACAGGCACCTGCCACAATGCCTGACTATTTTTTTGTTGCAGTTGTCATTGTTGTTTAGCTGGTCCGGGTCAAGTTCAAACCCGCCACCCTCAGTGTATATGGCTGGCGCTGTAACCACTCTGCTGAGCCTGCATTGCATTTCTTTTAGTCTAGAACATTTAAGTAGCCTTCTTTTGTCTTTCATGATATTGACATTCTTGGAGAGTCAAGGTAAGTTTTTGCCTGCCTTTTTTGCCCCAGCATCCTTTAAATGTGTATCTAATTATTTCTTTGTGATTAAACTCAAGTTAACATGTTCTTGGCAGAATATCACAACAGGTAATGTTCCAATGCCCCCCTCCCCCTTTTAATCCTTCTCTTTTAAATGTGTGAAGTCAGGAGTAATTTTTAAAATTCTAACATTCTTATTTTTAAATATCCAGCAGGCCAGTTATTGATAAATGACTCTTGTCATCACAGCATGATTGAGGCAGTAGGCTATTTGTACAAATCACTTGATTTAAGGGCGACCTACCTGGGACCTTCTCATTCATCAATCCATGGAATCCTGCAGTGAGTTTCTGTTTCATGTCCCCCAAAGAAGTATGCTTCTGGTTCTTCCTATTGTATATGCATATATGATCTTGCGATTTGATCTTTTACAGGATTCTGAGGGAAATCAAGTGGATTCGTGGAAGAAGATGTGGGCCTCAAGGCATTAGCCAACCATGTGAGGGTTTTAGGAATGGGTTATCATTATGGGACTATCTGCTTAAATTAAACTATCACAGTGCTCAGAATTCTAATACAGTGAGCTCTGCAATGTGCACGGATGCAGATAAGTTCCAGAGAGCTAACAGTGCAGACTTGGAACCTCACACAAGTTCAGATAAGTCAAAATGTGTAAAACGGAAGAAGATCTTGAAACCCACTCTTTCCAGTTCTGCTGAGGAAAAGCCTCAACAGAAGACACCAAATAATGCTGAAGTCAGGAACAGCCCAGGAAAGGAAGCGTCAAAGAAAAAGAAAGACTATCCCCCTAGCATTTCATCTTTGCATAAGATGAATAGTTTAGTAAAGTTGTCAAAGCAGAGGATTTTGTCAGCTAAAAGCGAGAGTGGAGAAGGCCGAATCACCACTATTTACTGCCATCCCCCGGTGTCACCTCTTACGGGAAATAATCCTTGGGAATCCATATCTGATCTCATATCAGAAAAGTGGCTTTTTCATGGCCCAAGTTATAGTTCAAGTCACAAGTATTTTTTGCAGAGATGTCAGATAGAAACAAAATTGTTGAAGACTGCAAATTATATTGATAAGGAATAAAAATTATACTGGGCTCTTTGGTGTCTGTTAAACGGTTTTTCCACTTGCTTTTAATTAGAACTCTTTGGACTTTTTTTCCTAAAATACTTACGCATGATAATCAAGACCTGGGGATTTGACTTTTGAGCCCTATAAGATACTGTAACTGGTTTGAGCTAAAAAGAACACTTTTTAAGTGATTCACAATTCACATTCACAGTCCTTCATATCTAAAAATATATAGAAGTAATGTTATTAAAGTTCTAATTATGTTGTTTTACATTGCTATAGTTTATCTATTTTTATTTTTTTTTTTTTTTTGAGACAGAGACTCAAGCTGTCCCCCTGGGTAGAGTGCCGTGGCATTACAGCTCACAGCAACCTCCAACTCCTGGGCTCAAGCGAGTCTCCTGCCTCCGCCTCCCAAGTAGCTGGGACCACAGGCGCCCGCTACAACGCCCGGCTATTTTTTGGTTGTAGCCGTCATTGTTGTTTGGCGGGTCCGGGCTGGGGATTTGAACCCGCCACCTTAGGTGTAGGTGGCTGGCGCCTTAGCCGGTTGAGCTATAGGCGCCGAGCTATCTATTTTGATTTTGAATTAATTTAACATGTAAGTGGGCCGGGCTGGGTAGCTGCCACCTATAATCCTGGCACTCTGGGAGGCTGAGGCAGGTGGATTGCTTGAGCTCAGGAATTCAAGACCAGCTTGAGCAGGAGTGAGACCTCTATCTCTACTAAAAATAGAAAAGCTAGCCAAGAATCATGGTGAGTGCCTATAGCTGCAGTTACTGGGGGAGGCTGAGGCAAGGGATCACTTGAATCCAAGAGTTAGAGGTTGCTGTGAGCTATGATGCCAAGGCACTCTACCCAGGGTGACAGAGTAAGACTCTGTCTCAAAACAAATGAACATGTAAGCAAAATTTACAGATATTACCACCAACCTTTTTTATGAAATATAAATAAGCTATAAATTGGAATGAATTAAAACCATAAAAGTTTAAGGTACCAGAGCCCATGGATTGGGCTGTTTTAAGCATTTATCATCTCATTTTATCAGTGATTTGTAAAAACTGTTAAGGGGTACTTATTGGCTACCTTCTTTCCTCTCACATAACTAAATTCTACTTACTATGCTGGGAAGCCAAATGGAAGAAGGTGCTTAGCTGTGTGTCTTTAGGAAAGTTATTTCACCTCTCTCAGCCTCAGTTTTACTACAGTCCACCCCCTGTACCCACAGCATCTGTACTCTTGGATTCAACCAACTGAGTATTGAAAATACTAGAAAGAAATCAACAGAAGAGTAAAAAATAATTCAAATAGAAAATACAGGCGGCACCTGTAGCTCAGTGGGTAGGGCACCGGCCACATACATGCAGGCTGGCGGGTTCTACAAAAAAAATAGCTGGGCGTTGTGGTGGGCATCTGTGGTTCCAGCTACATGGGAGGCTGAGACAAGAGAATCACTTGGGCCCAAGAGTTTGAGGTTGTTGTGAGCTGTGACGCCACCACTCTACTGAGGGCAACATGGTGAGACTCTCTCAAAAAGAAAAAAGAAAATACAGTGTAACACTCATTTACATAACACCTACTTTGTATTAGGTATTACAAGTAAGCTGGAGATAGTTTAAAGTGCCCAGGAGGATGTGAGCAGGTTCTATGCAAATACTATGCTGTTTTATATAAGGGACTTGAGCATCCACGGATTTTAGTACAGTATGTGGGGAAGGGGTGTTCTGGAACCAAACCCTGGGAGATACCCAGGGAATACTGCATTTGTGAAATGGGAGAAATGATGGCATGGAGTTTGCAGGATTGCTGAGAAGATTGCATGGGATGATGCACACAGCAGGTCTTGGTGCCCCGCCTACTTCGCACATGGCAGCACCGTCCACCCCCACTCGGCAGAGTGCCAGTCTTGAGAGTTATTCCCCTTACTCCACTTAGCATCCTGTTCAGCAGTAACCACAAGCCACAGGGCAGCATGGGCAGTCCTTGCAGTCCAGTGGTTCTCAGCAGGGTTCTGGGTGGGCCACATCCGTCTTTCCCGCAGGAGCTGTGCCTGCCGGTGGGGAGGTTTCTGTTCATTCGGCTTTAGAGGAAGCCCACGGCGCAGAACAGGTGCAGCCTAGCAGGTCTGAGAAGACCTGTGCACCAGCAGGGAGCGTCGGCAGGGGCAGGAGCTGGGTGACTGTGCCCTGAGGACCTCTCCTGGGAGGCAGAAATTAGGGTGGGGTACTGGCCTTCTAGGCTGGGCAATGCGAGTGTCCTTCAAATTTACTGTAGTTAAGGGTGTGGGGTCTCCAGCCAATATCGGTCCCGATGTGGGGACCTCTCTTGGGAGGCGGAAATTAGGGTGGAGTACTGGCCTTCTAGGCTGGGCAATGCGAGTGTCCTTCAAACTTACTGGACTTAAGGGTGTAGGGTTCTCACAGCCAATCTCGGTTCAGTGTGGGGGCCTCTGCCCAGCCATCCCCTCACCAGCCGGCCTGGATGGCTCCAAGTTGAGAATTGGGGGCCGTCGCAGACCGGTCCCCACCATCCAGGGGAAATCCGGACTGAAGAGCTATTAATACGGAGAGGTCACCTTCCAGAGCCAGGTCAAAGCAGCTAGGAGGGGTAATGGCTGTGCAGCCAGAGCCGGGGGACCGCCACAGAAGGCAAGAGGAAGATGCGGCGGAATTCGACCGTCTCGCCATACCCTGCGGCCTACACAGCACCAAGCCCAGGATTCCGCGCGCACGAGGATGAGAAAGAGACCGCAGCTGGCTGGGCGCCAGACTAGCTGCCAGGGCACTCCGCCCCAGCCCAGCTGGGTCGCCTCCAGACTCCGCCCCCGGCCCCGCCCCGCCCCCATCCGGCCCCGCCCCCATCCGGCCCCGCCCCACCGCGGCCCCAGGGCCAGGCGGCGCCGCCACGTGTTCCGACGCAGGGAGCCGCCAGCCTGCAGGGCTGAGAGCCGGCAGTGGGCTGGCCCCGCGGCGCCACTCGCAGCGTGGTGGTGGCAAGCATGACCACGGCGGCTGTCGCGGTGGTGGCCCGCGGGGCCGGGACGAGGGCGGCGGCTTTGGCCCTGCGGGGCAGCTGCAGGACCTCGGCTCCGGGGCGGCCGTGCACGGGCCCCGCTCGGCCCTTCTGCACAGCACCTGGGACCGACCCGGACATGAAGCACTACCTGTGGGAGCGCTACCGCGAGGCGAAGAGAAGCACGGACGGTGAGTGCCAGCCGTCCCCAACCCCAGCACCCGGAGGACCCCCTCCCTGCCCGGCTGGGACGGCGGGTCCCCTCCGACGCAGTCAGCCGGGGAGCGGGCACGCTCGGACCCGGGCCAGACCCTCTGCTGACCTCTAAGGTGCTTCAGTGGCCCTGACTCCCCACCCTAACCGCAGGCAGCATCGCCTCTGCCCAGCCACTCCAGAAACTTCGCAACTCTTGCCTTCTCCTATCGGGAAAGCGGTTTTATACATTCTTGAGATTTTTAGCTCGAAATCTGCATCGGAAGCGCTTTGGGCTGCCTCAGGGGTTCCGCACACATCACTGGGGAGGCGGTCACCCCCTTGCGCCGTTAGGTATTGTTATTAACCAACAGTGATGAAAGAACAGAGGCAGGCTGGTGCCCAGTTACCGTGGAGCGGGGCTGTTGGGCAGGTGACTGTACCCGGAGGCTGATCTGTTTTCCTTGGGATGGAGTGGGGAGGGGTGTACTGTGCGGTGTTTGAAATAGGAGAGGTTCAGGCTGGGAATATTCTGGGTAATCTACTGTCCTCAGTGAGGAGGGGATCCAGAGGGAGAGAGAATGAGTACTTTGCAGCCAGGTGATCATAAAATGAGCTTTGCTCCTTTGTTACCAAGGGAAACGGGAGAGCCGGAATGAGGAACTAGTGAATACTAGTGCCAGGCACGAAGATCGCCTGAATTCTATCAGTAGCCAGAGAAGGAGGTGCCACATCCCCGCTCTATAGGTGGGAAAGGCAAGACTCAAGTCACGCTTTGACCTAGTCTGTGTCAGCCCCTCGCCTACCCTGGTGTTTGCCTTAGCAGCTGACCAGGTGGGAACTGATAGTCCATTGAGCTTTGGGGGAAAATTCAGAATTAAAATGTTAATACTGTTTTCTTTTCGGTGTGTTGTTAGAGGTGACACATAGAGATAGGGAGAGAATATTTGGTGAGAGAGAACATTTTGTAGGATCCCATTCTCCATCTTTTGGCTAGAAGTCGGCATAATGAAATAAAACCAAATTGGTGTAATTTTCAGAGGGAACTTAAAATGGCCAGCAATGCAGAATCCTATGAAATAGCGGCGTATTTTCTTAGTTTTCTCTTTGCCAGGAGTTTAATTTCTTTGGCTTTTGAAGCTGTCATGTGGTGTGGTGGAGGGAAGGCTGGCTTTGGAGGCATTGGGAACTGCAGATCTTGAGATGAAATAGATACGAGATTATCTGGCCCAGATTTGGGGCAGGCAGGATTTTTTTTAATTGAAACTTTTGTTGAAATAGTTGTGTATTTACATGCAGTTGTAAGAATTAACACAGGGAGATCTGGCATACCCTTTACCCGGTTTCTTCCGGTGCTGACATTTTGCAAAAACAATAGCATCACTACCAGTGACTATTGGTACCATCAGAGTCCCTTGGTTTTATCTGTATTCCTGTGTGTATGCACATACGTAGTTCTACACAGTTTTATCACATATAGGTTGGTGTCTCACCACCACAGTCAAGGGGCAGGCCAGCCCATCACAGGAGGCTTCAGACTGTCTTTATAACCACACCCACCTCTCTGCTGAAGCTCTCTCTGTTCCCCAACATAGGTTTTCATTTGCCTAAGAGTACTGCTGCTGGGTTGAATGGTAATTGAGTGCTTAGTTTTATAAGAAACTGCCACCAAAATTTTTGCCATTCCGGTTTTCTAGTCAAGGTTTGCCATTTGTTGCCGGTGAGAGCTGGGACCGTCATGAAGCTTGAGTTTCTTCATCTGTAAAATGGACGTGCTGCTAGTACCAGCATCATGGGGTTCTGTTGAGGAATGGACAAGCCCATCTATGAACAGTGTTTAGAACAGTGCCTGGTGCATGAGGTGGCTGAAACATTGGGTGACAAAGATCAGCATCGGACCAGAGTTTGGGCCTTGGTGTGGGACAGTCCGAGGAGCATTTTGGAGTAGGATAGCTTGTGTTCCTTTACTCTCTGGCCTGAGTTTCCTCAGTCATAATATGGGGACAATATGGGGATTTTCAGCATGGGCTTGGCACCCAAAAGATGCTCAGTAGATCATAGTTATTGTTATTATTATAGTTATTAAATAACTGTCAGTCTTAGACACATACTTAGGTTATGTGATAACCTTAGTTATGTGATAACCAGCCTAAGCATGTGATAACCTCCACATCATAGGTGGAGGTGGGTGATTTCGTTTTAGGGTCTGGGTCTCTTCCTGCTTAGGGCAGTGCCATAACTAGCCTTTGACAAGTCACAATCCCTTTTGGCTTTGGCTTCTCTTTCTGTAAAATGAGGCCACTGTATCAGGGAATGTCTAAGTCTTTTTAAGTGTAGTAAATATTCAAATGTTACAGGTACAGGATTCCGTGTACCCTCTTTTCTCCTCACGCCGGCAGCATAGATGCGTCTGGTCCCTGTCCCCCATGAAATGCAAGGACTTTAATCAGACTTTTCCTTCTTTGCCCGTTCTGTGGCTGCATCACATTTCTAGCTCCTCCAGCTGAAGTCCGTATGAATGAATGTGCCCAACTTGTGTTCATTCAGCACCTAGGAAGCACCCAGCAGTTTGAAGGCTGCTGATTTGCAGATGGAGGAGTGTGACAAGGATTGAGGAGCTGGCTCGGCGCCTATAGCTCAACCGGCTAAGGCGCCAGCCACGTACACCTAAGGTGGCGGGTTCGAATCCCCAGCCCGGACCCGCCAAACAACAATGACGGCTGCAACCAAAAAATAGCCAGGCGTTGTGGCGGGCGCCTGTGGTCCCAGCTACTTGGGAGGCGGAGGCAGGAGACTCGCTTGAGCCCAGGAGTTGGAGGTTGCTGTGAGCTGTAATGCCATGGCACTCTACCCAGGGGGACAGCTTGAGGCTCTGTCTCAAAAAAAAAGGATTGAGGAGCTGTCTGTGCTGAGCAGTGCACCGGTGTTGCATGGATGGGGAGTCTGGCACAGAGATAAGTGACAGTCCACCTTGGAGGAGATAAACAGTGGGCCCCAGGGGCTCTGACGCCAGAGCACATAACTGCTCAGGGATACAAGAAGTGCTTTGCCAAGGCTGACCCCTGAGCTGTGTATTGTAGGCAGAAGAGGTTGGAAGAAATATGATTGATATTTGTGTAAAAATATAGATCCTCCTTCTCCTTCTCCCCCAGTTGGAAGAGGGCAAAAGAATTTTATTTTCTCCCTTTCTTCCTTGGCCTGTGATGTTTCCATAATCCAACGTGTTAAGGGCTCCCAGAATGAAGCTTGGGTGAAGGAAGGGAGGTGCTTATTATTCTTGGTTTTACCCCTTCTCTCTCATCCTTTCTTTTCCTATTTCTATTAAAAAATAAAAAACAATATTTTAAGATCAGTTTTAGATTTACTGAAAAATCTTATAGTTTCTATAAACCTGACACCCTTCCCCTGTCAACATGTATTAATCTGTCACGTTACTGTGGTATGTTTGTCACAATTATGAATCAACGTTGATACATTATCCATAGATTATCCAGATTTCCTTAGTTTTTACTTGATGTCCTTTTTCTATTCTAGGATGCCACACAGGATAGCACATGTAGTTATCATGTCCCCTTAGGCTATCACTGTTCGTTAGGCTTTTCTGTTTTTGAGGACCCAGACAATTTTGAAGAATAGCGGTCACATACTCTGTAGAATGTCCCCCAGTTGAAATGTTTTCTTGTTTTAAACTTGAGACTTTTGGAAGTATAATGTTTATGCATCCTGTTTCAAACTTAGCCAAAAAAAAAAAAAAAAAAGTCTTGGTATTTTTAAGAAAAGATTGGCTTATTATCTCTAGCAAAAAATGTTAGAAGCTGTAATTTTTTCCCTAGGGCAGTGGTTCTCTAAGGGAGGGGGAGGGGCAGTTTGGCACTGTCTAGTGACTTGAAGATCTTTTTGTTTGTCATTCCTAGGCAGAGAGATGCTGTTGGCTGTTAGTGAGTAGAGGCCAGGGACACAACTAACCACACAACAGTGCACAGAACAATATTCCAAACAAAGAATTATACGGCCCCTACTGTTAATAGTACTACCAAACAAAAAATTATAGTGCTATTAACAGTAGGGGCCGTATAATTCTTTGTTTGGAATATTGTTGCAAAAACTTTGGATATTGTTCAAAAAACTTTATCCTAAACCCGATGAATTCTAAGAGATTGTTAGAATTATTTTGATTATTGTTCCAAAAACTAAGAGATTGTTCCAAAAACTTTGGATATTGTTCAAAAAACTTTGTCCTAAACCCGATGTATTCTAAGAGATTGTTTGAGTTGTTTTGATTATTGTTCCAAAAACTTTTGAATATTGTTCCAAAAACTTTGTCCTAAACCCGATGAATTCTAAGAGATTGTTGTGTGACATTAATTTTTTTTTTTTTTTTTTTGAGAAAGAGTATCACTCTGTAGCCCTGGGTAAAGTGCCATGGTATCTTGTAGCTCACAGTAACCTCAAACTCCTGGGATCAAGCTATGCTCTTGCCTTAGCCTCCCAAGTAGCTGGGACTATAGGCACCTGCCATTACACCTGGCTAGTTCTTTTATTTTTAGTAGAGATGGGGTTGGTCTTGCTCTAGGTCAGGTTAGTCTTGAACTCCTGATCCACCTGCCTCGGCCTCTCAGGGTGCTAGGATTATAGGCGTGAGCCATCGTGCTTGGCCCATGTGATATTAATTTTAAGGTCTGGCTATATTTGTCAGAGGTTGTGCTGTTCTTTGCTGTTGTGCTCTGTGTGTCTTCTTTGAACTTATTTGTTGGCTTTCCACGTATGCTCATCAGATAACTGGTCTTCTCAGGTGCAGAAGGGAAGCTTTTGTGCTCCTCCGAGAGGGCTTCTGTGGCCTTATACTTGGATAGCCTAGTGGATTTTTTTTCCTTTAGAATTAATCTTGGAGCCTGGCCTATTTAGAGTGTGTGGCTATCAACTAAATTAAGTTTTGGAAAGAAGTACAGGGATTACTATGAAGTGGTAGATGCTTATATAGGGTGTTGAAGAGTTGATT